TGGAAACCAGACCATGCTCCTTTACCCACAAACAAGGAACTTTCTATGGGAAGGCTGAGAAGCACAACAGGAAAGCTGGAGAGAATGCAGAGGCTCGACGAGTACCACGAAGTAATGGAACAACAGTTAGAGCAGGGGATCTTGGAACTAGTACCAGAAGTTCCCACGGGGGAGGTCATTCATTACATTCCCCACCAACCTGTCATTCGTGACCAGGCACAATCTACTAAAATGACGATAGTGTATGATTGCTCAGCAAAGCCAGACTCTCAAGCGCCATCAGTGAATGACTGTTTGGAAGTTGGACCCCCCCTTCAGCCCATGATCTTTGACATCCTTCTGCGGAACCGTCTTAACTTTCTGTGTATCACAGGTGACGTACAGAAGGCCTTTCTCCAAATCAAAGTGGATCCTAAGGACAGAGATGCGCTACGTCTCCTATGGTACGAGAATCTTAACTCAAGAACTGTTCTGCAGTATCGCTTTACGAGAGTAATATTTGGATCAGGGCCGAGCCCATACATTCTAGGGGCTACACATCCGAAGCATGTAAGCCAGTATGCAGAGAAGTATCCTACTACTACAGATGAGTTGTTGAAGAACACGTACGTAGACGACATTCAATCAGGTGGCGGACAGAAGGAAGAATTGTTGAAGTTTAAGGAAGAAGCAATCAAGATAATGAGGGAGGGTGGCTTTCAGCTCCACAAGTGGCACAGCAACGTCCCAGAGGTAGAAGCATCACTTAATGACAGTGGCGACACATTAGCATCTACAGTGAGTCCTTCTTATGCAAAGATACTTGGGGTACCGTGGAACAAGGCTGAAGATAGGCTCGAGATCGGTTTCAGGAAACCGTTGAAGGAAGCCAATGATAGCAAATGGACGAAGAGGAAGATGCTGTCTGCCATCAATGGTATCTTTGACTTGCTGGGGATTTCAGCCCCAGTTATCATCACAGGAAAGGTCCTGTATAGCCAAGCGTGCTTGCAGAAACTGAGGTGGGATGAGGAACTGCCCCATGACCTCCAGAGACCTTGGAAAAAATGGTTGAAGGGAATGGCAGAACGCCCCTGGATAAGCATTCCACGCAGTGTCGTAAGCAATGGTGTAACAACAATTGTTCTACATGGTTTTGCAGATGCAAACAAGTGGCCATCTCAGTTGCTGTGTACACACTAGCCTTCCACGTCACCTCACCAGTTCAACAGAACCTGCTTGTAGCAAAGTCGAGGATAGCACCAAGAGGCTTGTCAATTCCACGGTTGTAACTCATTGCAGCACACACGTTGAGTAGGCTGGTAAACCATGTAAAGGAAGTCTTGAAAGATCATCGAATTCATGACTATCACTGCTGGGTTGTCAGCACCACAGTTCTGTACCGGATTAAGAGTCAAGGGACCTGGTCTCAGCTCGTNAGGTGCGCACCTCACCAGTTCAACAGAACCTGCTTGTAGCAAAGTCGAGGATAGCACCAAGAGGCTTGTCAATTCCACGGTTGGAACTCATTGCAGCACACACGTTGACTAGGCTGGTAAACCATGTAAAGGAAGTCTTGAAAGATCATCCAACTCATGACTATCACTGCTGGGTTGTCAGCACCACAGTTCTGTACTGGATTAAGGGTCAAGGGACCTGGTCTTAGCTCGTGCGGAACAGAACCAAAGCCATTCAAGAGAAAGGGTACATACAGTGGCACCATGTACCGACTGACGACAACCCCAGCGACCAAGGGAGCATAGGAATTGAGCCCAGAAAGATGGGTAACCTGTGGTTCGAAGGACCAGAGTGGCTAAGCAGCCCAGACAAGTGGCCGCAACAACCTGAAATAGCAGGGACCTCTGAGACTGCAGGAGAGAGCGTAAAGCCAAAGTTAGAGAAACAACTGTTGGCAAAGGAAGAAGAACAGAATGAGACAACAGATCCACTTCTCCACAAGTATGCATCATATTGGAAGCTCCTGAGAGTAACTGCATTTGTGAAACGGTTTATTGACAACTGTAGAAAGTCTGAGAAGGAGAGAGGACCATTAACGACGAAGGAATTCGAGGCTGCAGAGAAGTTTTGGATCACTCGGGTACAAACGTCCCAATCATTAAAATCAGATGTGGGCTTGAGGAAGGATGAAGGAGGATCTTCAGAAGTGCAGGCAGAGTTGAACACTACAACCCAGTGTTTCTACCCCGTAATAGTGTTACGAGGATCGAATTATTTTTACTGAATCTGTCACGCAATCTCAGACTTTTCTAGAATTATCTATAATATGTAATATTCCAGAAACTTCTTTCATGTGACTTAGCAGTTTCCAAAAATAGTACAACTTGTAATACGCTACAAATAGTAATAGTACATTCTAGATAACTAAAGTAAATGTATAACAGCTGGCTTGTGAGAAGTACAAAAGAGATTTGCCCGAGGGCTTACCCTCGTGGCATGCTGACTGAACTTTTGGAAGCTATGANCATTCAAGAGAAAGGGTACATACAGTGGCATCATGTACCGACTGACGACAACCCCAGCGACCAAGGGAGCAGAGGAATTGAGCCCAGAAAGATGGGTAACCTGTGGTTCGAAGGACCAGAGTGGCTAAGCAGCCCAGACAAGTGGCCGCAACAACCTGAAATAGCAGGGACCTCTGAGACTGCAGGAGAGAGCGTAAAGCCAAAGTTAGAGAAACAACTGTTTGCAAAGGAAGAAGAACAGAATGAGACAACAGATCCACTTCTCCACAAGTATGCATCATATTGGAAGCTCCTGAGAGTAACTGCATTTGTGAAACGGTTTATTGACAACTGTAGAAAGTCTGAGAAGGAGAGAGGACCATTAACGACGAAGGAATTCGAGGCTGCAGAGAAGTTTTGGATCACTCAGGTACAAACGTCCCAATCATTAAAATCAGATGTGGGCTTGAGGAAGGATGGAGGAGGGATCTTCAGATGTGCAGGCAGAGTTCAACACTACAACCCAGTGTTTCTACCCCGCGATAGCAAGTTGGCAACTTTGATCGTTCGACATGTCCATGAGCAGACCTTACATGGGGGAGTCTCCGCAACCTTGTGCCGCATGAGAGAGAAGTTTTGGACGCCGAAACTGCGATCGCTGACAAAGAAAGTTATTCACAACTGTACAATTTGCCGACGTTACCGTAAGAAGCCACTGACCACCTCGTACACTTCGGACTCTCTGTTACCAGTCTTCAGAACTGAACTGTCAGATCCTTTCGCTGTCACAGGAGTAGATTTCGCTGGACCAATGTACTATAAGATTAAGAAGTCCACAACTGCGAAGGCTTACGTCGCTCTATTCACCTGTGCCAGCACTCGAGCAGTGCACCTAAAGCTTTGCCGTGATCTCACCGCCACTGAGTTTCAAAGAGCCCTGAAGGAGTTTGTTGCCAGAAGAGGATGCCCTCAGACCATGGTAAGCGACAACGGGAAAACATTTGTGACCACCGGGAGATGGCTATCCACCCTGAAGAAAGACCATGGCGTGGCTAACTACTTGGGAACATTGAACATCAAGTGGAAGTTCAATTTGGCCCGAGCCCCGTGGTGGGGAGGCTTCTTTGAGCGACTTGTTGGCATCATGAAGAGGAGCCTTTCGAAAGTGGTTGGCCGAAGATTTTTGTCCTACCCAGAGCTAGAAGAAGTATTGCTGGACGTTGAAACTTCCATGAACAACAGACCACTGTCTTACCAAGGGGAAGAGTTTGAGCAGCCAGTGCTCACCCCAAACACCTTACTGAGAGGGAAACCGACACCCATTCTAGAGGAAGACCTTGAGAAGATTGGAGAAGAGGATGCTACTAAGCGGATGAGGTTCTTACAGAAAAGTAAAGAACAACTTCGAAAGAGGTTCATGAAAGAGTACGTCCACGCCCTTGATGAGAAACAACAGCGGTCCACAGGGAACATTGATAAGACACCAAACATAGGAGCGATAGTGTTGCTGAAAGGCGATACGAAGGACAAGGCCCTGTGGAAGCTGGGACGAGTAGTAAGAAAAATTTCCGGCAAGGATGGGATAGTGCGTGGTTTGAAGCTGAAGCAAGGGAACGGTTATTTTGTGGAGCGACCTTTACAACTCTTGTGTGACCTAGAGATAGGGGGAGAAGATCCGGACTGGAAACCGAACCCGCAAGCAGAACCATTCGTTCCAAGAGTGCAACCAAGCAGAGTGTCCAAACAGATTGCTAGGGATTGGATTAGGAACATTACTCAACAAGACGACATTTAAGCTGTTGGACACTTAAATGGGGGGAGGGTGTTCAGAATGTTTTGTTTGCATTGCGTGACGGCTCATGACGAGTGTGACTTGGCGCCCTCGCCTTATTCAGATTAGTTTACCATGTGCAGAACGTTTCGGTGACGTTCTTTTTTTTGTTGTTGTCGTCGCAAGAAGCGAGTGAAGTTGTTAGTATTAAAACCAGAATTTTAGAGACCTTGTGTGAGTTAATTTGGTGTCACAGAAAACGTTTTCCACACTTTTAGCAATTTTTATTGTTAATTACTTAAGTGTGATATCGGTAAAAATAAATGGAGAAAGGGCTTTAGTTCGAGATTTAAGTTTTTAGGGGTACACTCATAGAAATCTTGGAGGGAAAGAAGCTAAGTTTATCCTCTCTTTATAGCCAAAAGCGCACTTTTTTGTAAAAACTTAGTCGATCTTCGGCTAAGATAAACGCTGCTCGTCCCATTTTTCTCAGTCCAATTGGGAGCATACGGTTTCTCTGACAACTCACTAACCCTGATGCGATCGTATTTTACAAATAGCAAAAACAGAGTTAGGATTGATCATGAAACAACAAGCGACTGGTGCGCGACCACGAGAGGTTGTCCCCAGGGATCGGCCTTCGGGCCTCTTCTCTGGAACGTCTTTCAAAACGACCAACACCTCTCCATCGACGAAAATAGACTATTTATGTATGCGGAGGACCACCAATTGTTCTCTGTGGCGAAGACAGGCAACGAAGCTGAAATTACTTTAACTGAACAGGGAAACAACGTCTCTGAGTGGTACAATAACAAACTTTTACAGGGAAATTTTTCTAAGTATCAAGTGATGAGTCTGGGCCCGAGAAACAGGCACAAGGATTTAAACATCGTGATTAATGACACTGAAATTGAACAAAAATCAGAGATAACACTCTTAGGGGTTACTCTGGACGATCAACTATCTTTTTCGAGCCATATAAGCAATGTTTGTAGAAAAGCCTCCTCTCAAACTGGCATCCTTCTAAGATTACGCAATCTTATTCCTACATCTGCTAAATTGCATATTGTTAAATTTGCTGTGATACCCTCTCTTCCATATTGTCAAACTGTCTGGCTCTTTTGCCGTTCTTCTGATGCCAGGAAATTAGAACGAATACAAGAACGAGCACTACACGCCGTGTACTATCACACCAGACCGACTTACGAGGAACTCTATACGCGGCGGCTACAGGCCTTTGCGATTTTAATGTACAAAGTAAAAAACGGCCTGACGCCTCCCTATATTGCGGACTTATTCGTCGTTGCTAACTCTCATTATTTTCTTAGAAATCATGAATTCATCATTCCTAGATTTCGGACTGTTGCTTATGGAAAACACAGCCTTACCTACTTAGGCCCCGTTATTTGGTCCAAATTAGATGCATATATTAAATCCTCTGAATCTTTGGGCATCTTCAAAAAGCGTATCAAACTGTTCAAATTCACAAGTCTGCCTGACAGAACCTGTAGAGACTGTTTTTTATGTAATAACTGACAACTTATGACTCAATTATTAAGATTTTCTTTTTTAACATAATATTTACAATTAGTTAGGTAATTGTAGTTAGGTGTCCCCCATTAGTGCATTTCTTACGCTAGATCTAGAGTTATCGACACTTAAATAAAGTTCTTACTTACTTACTTACTTACCTTGGAGAGTGAAAACGCGAAAAGTTCGCCACGCATTGAGACAGCGAACGAGGGAATTAGGCCATGCGAACAGAACAGTTGGGAAAAGCTCATCGTCCGAAATTGGCTAGATAGAGTCAAACTGACTTTTTGCAACTGCTCGCATGCTCGCGTTCTCGTTAACATGTGCTCGATTGCTCGAAATTTCGTTAATCCTGCTTTGCAGTTATTTTTCATACATACATAAACGATAATCAGATCTGATATAGTTAAAACAAAACGGTTGAAACATCCTTATCTCTGGACTCAGTCTTTCTTCAACAACTTGTAACTGTTTTGGAGGCGCTGTATGTATTATCAGGAAAACGCACGAAGCTCCATAACAAGCATTTCGTTCATTGGTTTATTCTTTATCATACTTCATNATCCTCTGAATCTTTGGGCATCTTCAAAAAGCGTATCAAACTGTTCAAATTCACAAGTCTGCCTGACAGAACCTGTAGAGACTGTTTTTTATGTAATAACTGACAACTTATGACTCAATTATTAAGATTTTCTTTTTTAACATAATATTTACAATTAGTTAGGTAATTGTAGTTAGGTGTCCCCCATTAGTGCATTTCTTACGCTAGATCTAGAGTTATCGACACTTAAATAAAGTTCTTACTTACTTACTTACTTACCTTGGAGAGTGAAAACGCGAAAAGTTCGCCACGCATTGAGACAGCGAACGAGGGAATTAGGCCATGCGAACAGAACAGTTGGGAAAAGCTCATCGTCCGAAATTGGCTAAATAGAGTCAAACTGACTGTCTGGTGGTAGCGGGGAAATTTTTTTTCCTTTACCAGTAGTATAATTGTTGCAGATTTAACTTGCGTCTTTCTAGTAGGGGTATCGAGTGGTTCCATTCAATTTAAACGTGCTCGCAAAATTTGGCCTTTGTTCGAATTGCTCTAAAAAATTATACGGGTGCTCGCTTGCTCGTGCTCGCAAAATTTTTGCAACTGCTCGCATGCTCGCGTTCTCGTTAACATGTGCTCGATTGCTCGAAATTTCGTTAATCCTGCTTTGCAGTTATTTTTCATACATACATAAACGATAATCAGATCTGATATAGTTAAAACAAAACGGTTGAAACATCCTTATCTCTGGACTCAGTCTTTCTTCAACAACTTGGAACTGTTTTGGAGCCGCTGTATGTATTATCAGGAAAACGCTCGAAGCTCCATAACAAGCATTTCGTTCATTGGTTTATTCTTTATCATACTTCATGGTCACAGGCTTTCTGCTTGAGAGGGGTACAGTTCCGCAGTTCAAATATGTGATCTTTCATCTGTTCACTTGTTTCTTCACCATTTACGGGTATATTACGAACTCACAACGTGACCAGCCCCTGTTGTATTGAAAGCTCAGTTAGTAGAGTACTGCACCGGTTGTCAGAAATTAACATGGAGGCGCCCCACGCGACCACAATTTCGTAATCTTTTGTAATCAGATACTTGTTGCTGGCAAGCCCTAGCGAGGCAACAGTCTATTCTTTACAACAGCGAGAAAAAGCCAAAATTTGTCGGATGTAAGATCGGTTACATGCGCAGTCGATTGCGTCTTTTATATCCGGGGTGCTTGTGATGACATCACGTAAAATGCACGTGGAAGTATCGATCGATTTCGAGCAATGCCCGTTGAGATAAATAACTCGACCATTGAGCCATTTTCCCGTTGAGGCGAAAGAAAAGCTTACAATTATAGATTCAAAATGTGGATTGCTCGTTGAAGCTAACCATTCAACAAAATATGGATCGCTCGTTAAACTAAACCATTCAACCGCAAACTCAAATGACGGTTTGGGCTTTGAGACAAATTCCGAGTTGATTTCAACCGTGGAGAGCATCCATTCGACCGTCGAGTCCAATTGTTTTTCAACCTTTGAGTCAAAAGAAAACTTCTCGAGCAAAACATTAAGTTGTCGTTTGCTCAATGACGTTAAACATTCCTCAAAATGTGTTGGTCTTGCCGAAAGGCGGTTTGCGAGTTTTGAAGGACAAAACCTTGATTGTGATCATGTTTACAGCATAAAATAAGGAGAGGGCCGACAAGGGCTGATCAATGCAAATGAAACCCTTTATCCTTGCCTTTCCTTTTGTTCAGCATTGATGAATACTTTCACAACTTGCGGGTAGGCAATGATCATTTTTAGAAATGTCACTGACTATTTTAAGTGAATCAAATGGTTCATTCTATACTTTTGACCCTCATGCTAGAAACGGTGATGGAATGCCAAATTCATAGCAACTGTCTTAAATTTAGGAGATTTGGGTGAACTTGGAACATTCTATTGTTCTTTAGCAAATGAACTGACATGTGAGTGTTTTGAAATTATCCCAGCACCCACCTTCACATTGAAACTACTGGTTTTCTTTATTATTAGTTGATTGATGGACACGTGAACATGATTACCATAATCGCATGTACATTAGACTTTGATCAGTCCTTTTTCGGAGCGAAGACAAAGTTGTGTCTACGAAGTTAGTAGGTTTACGATACGAGATCACTTTTGCAGTATTACAAGGACGAATCAATTAAACGAATCAGTTGCAAAACAAGTTTCGAAGTTTGTGACACTGGTACCGCAGAGGTCATGGGTTCTGACCCGTTCAGGCTTGAATTTTTTTCAGGCTTCAATTTAACAATTACTAAGACCCCGTCCACACGAAGACGATTGTAAACGCAAACGCTAGTAAACGCAAACTTTTTTATGCGTTTAGGCCTTCCGTCCACACGAAGACGATGAAAACGCTCACCGTAAACGCATAAATTCGAAAACGCTCTCCAAAGTGGATAAATTTGAAAACGCCGTTTATGCGTCTTCGTGTGGACGGCCGTAAACGTATATTTTCGTAAACGCTGTGAAAACGCT